GGGCTGCCCCGGGCAGGGCAGCACCGCCAGCTGCGGGCAGCTGGTGCTAAACCTCCCCCTGCCCAGGCAGAGCCCAGGCCACGGCTGGGGAGTGAGAGAGAATAGAAAGCCGCAGGTGCGGCAGAGATGTGGGACACCTGGCAGTGCACCAGGATTTTTGCTACCAGGAGCTGGAACCATATGCTGAGGACATTGGCACCTGCCCTCCTGTCCCCCAGCCCCTGGCAGTGCCTGCAGGTCCATCCCCAGGAGAAGCACAGCCCACCTGGCCTTATCCTGACATCCTGGGGGGCTGCCTGCCCTGGCCACAGCCCCACGTCCTGACCCTGTGCTGGGTCAGATCTGTGACAGCCCCAACAGGGACATGTAGAATGGCCGTAGGGCCAGCATTGGCCCCAGGACCTTCCTCCCCCCTTTCCCCCCAAGATGCAGGGGGCAGGAAAGCACCCCCAGAGCCAGCACAGGGCTGAGATCTGCAATTAGCATCCCTGCACTGCAGAAAGGGGAAGAGAAGAGTCCTGGAGGCTGGGAGCACCTGTCCTCATCCAGGGTGAAGCAGCTCCACAGCCCCACAGCGAGCATCCAGGATCCTGTCTGGAGGCAGCAGGAGGGCCGAGGGCACAGTGGAGATAAGCCACGGCAAAGACAGCTGTAGCTGGGAGAAAGGGGGATTGAGGGATTATGGCCAGGAACCCATCTAAGCTAGGGATCAATTTTCTCCACCCCCAGGGAGAGGAAAGTGGGGCCTCTACCCCACAGGAACTAATCTCCTTTTTAATGAGGAACTGGGAATTTTGTTGTCAACAACCAGCAACACGCATGCCCCGTGCTGCAGGGATGCATCACCAGGTTGGGACCCCTGGGTGAGTGCTATGCCCTGCATCAGCAGCCACCCCAGCTTCTGGAAACACTGTGTTTACCATCAGGAAAAGATGATCCTAGACCAGGAAGGGCCCTGCCGATCCTGCTGGAGGATCATCCTGCCTGTCCCCAGCTCAGCGTCAGCCAACAACAGCCCCCACCCACTTCATTCATTGGCTCCATTCCCTCTGTCCTGCAGGAGCCAACAATAGCCCTGGAGTGGGCTGGGGGTTCCTGCTTGTGCTGGATGCCCTTGGGCAGGCCCTGCTCCCCTGGCTGGGTGCTCCTGGGTTTGACCTGCACACCTGCATGACAGAGACTGAGCAGAGCTGCTATTTCTGTCCTGAGCATGCAGATGTAAAAGACGCACCAAGTTAAAGGTTCAGGACTGGCTCCAAAGTGGGGTCGCACCTGCCACCTTGCCTTCCTCCCCAGGGCTGGGCCTGTGTTCTGCTCCGTTCTCGGTATCGAGAGCAGCACGTGGTCAAACCACAGGTTACAGAGTGCTGAGACACCAAGAGCTTCAGACCCACCGGCCAGGGGAAAGGCTCTGCTGTGCAATGACGGAGCAGGTGAGGGGGCAGCAGGGTGAGGGGCTTGCTTGGGAGCCAGGCAGAATTCCCCCCATCACTGGCTTTCCTTAGTTTTTTTAAGGTAGTTTTCTTGTGAGCCCTGTGGGTTTAGACTGAAAGGCAAATCCCTGGGGAATCAGGGCAGTGCCTGGTGCTCCAGGCCCCTGGGGCTAGAGGAGCTGCTGGAGAATCAGCCTGCCCTGGCACTGGCTTCTGATCCCACCTGTGGCCTCAGAGCAATTGAGGGGCTGAAGCTGAAGCCCAGCTGCCTGGGCTCGCTGACAGGGGCCAGAGTGAAATTGCTGTTGTGAGGTTACTGTGAGTCAGAGTGTCAGATCCTGATCTCCAGGTAAGTGGGGTCCCAGTGGAGATATCAGTGCCAGGCTGCAGCACTGTCCTGCTGCCCCAGAGCAGGGCTGAGCAGCTGGGAGGTGGGAGCACTGTGCTCAGCTGCCTGCAACCTGTGTGAGGCAGGAGCTCCCTATCTGGGAGCAGGACCAGGCAGTGCAAGGCTGTGCCCACACTGGGGTCTCCAGGGTGGTGCATGGGGGCTTTGGGCACCTGGGGATGCTGGTGTGGATCCCCAAGACTCAATAGCCCAGGGCATCTAGGGCCATAGGCTGGGTGCTGGACCCCAGAGCGGTTCCCCACGTGCAGGGTTAGTTCATGGGACAGTGCTGTGCTCGGGATGCCACGGCTGGGGTCATGTCCCTCCGCCAGCTCTGCATTGCAGACAGCTGCTGGGGAAGCGTGGTCACTCTTGCAATGACTGAGCACGCTGCTGTGGGGTGTGAGACGGAAACAAACTCCGCGCGTGGGGCCAGGGACCGGGGGCTGCGGCACACCCGGGCTCCCGGTGGTGAGGCTGGGTGGAGAAGGGCTGCCTTGGGTGTGGTTCTGCACCTCGTGGCCGGGCCACGACTGCCGAGCCCCCCTCACTCAGCCTCCCTGTGCACAGGTAACTTCCAGCCCCGTCTCAACAGAGCTGATGGCCACCACCGACTTCTACCCCTGGGAGGAGGGGTACTCGGGCGAGTCCGGCATGTTGCCTGAGCTCTGTGAGAAGCAGGCAGTACAGGGCTTCGCCCGCGCCTTCCAGCCTGCCGTGTACGTGCTGCTCTCACTGCTGGGCACAGTGGGGAACGGGCTGGTGCTGCTCACACACACCCGCTACCGCCAGGTACACAGTGTCACCGATGTCTGCCTCCTGCACCTCGCTCTGTCTGACCTCCTGCTGCTCCTGACGCTGCCCTTCGCCAGCACCGACACGCTGCAGGGCTGGTCCCCAGGCACAGCCGCCTGCAAGGCGCTGCAGGGTCTCTACGCCCTCAACTTCTACAGCGGCTTCTTCTTCCTCACCTGCATCAGCGTGGATCGCTACGTGGCCATTGTGCGGGTGCCGGCTGC